GTTGAGCTCTGCCGCCAGGGCACTGGGGTTCGGAAGGACCTTATCCCAGAGATACAGATATGCACGCAGGTGTGGGCACGTCAGGGATGGTGGAGTCGGGTCGGGCTGTGCGGGCGTCGGTGCCTGTGTCTGCCCGTGTGTCGGTGCCTGTGTCTGCCCGTGTGTCGGTACCTCCCGGCTGTAACCGCGCCGGCCGCTTTCCCGGCAGGGATGGCTTCGGCTGCTTGGAACTGACTATTGAGTTGGAAGGGACCTACAACTGATAGCCGAGTTTTGAGTTGTCACAAGAACTAATAGTTTTTGCAGCGGAATGTGCCCTAGAAGCTGCATATAGCTGAGCCAAGTGATTTAAAAGGACTAACCAAGCAAAGTAAGGAAACAGCGAAGAAGGGAACTGAGGCAGCAAGCCAAACAGCACCAAGTTACTTTATAACAAGGGTATTGTCTTAAAGAAGTTCATAAGGCAGTTGCTTAGAACTTTGGGGCCTGCAGACATAGATGACCACCAGAGACCCTCAATGAAGCCCCTCAGAGACATTATAAGGATACGTATATATGCTAATAAGTCTTAGAAATGTCATGAATATGTAACAGGAATACGGGGAACAAAGAATGAATAAGCAAGTAATGCTGACATATAAGCTGCAGTGGAGCTACCTTTGTGTGCACTTCGGTGAGCTGATTCCCAGGGCACCCAGCGTGCTGTGATCATGCAGCACATCATAATAAAGAATGCCTACCTGCTAAAATTCACAAACTGAATCTCAGAGGTTTCTCTATTTTAGTTAACACAGTGACCATTTAGTCCAGCTGCCTGACCACTTCAGGGTTGATCAAAGGTTAACATAGCAAAAAAAAAATAAATCATAAATCACACTGTAAGTGTAAATTTAATGTTATTCGTACAGTAACTGAAAACCCACAATTCTACAACACAATTTTAAAAATATTTTTTTATACCAGAACCACTCTGTAGTTTGTCACAGTAGGGAATTCTTGGGATACAGAGCAACTAAAACCTGCTTGGTGCAGAATCTTCTGTGCCTGAGGATGGTAAAAACATTGGGCACAAGGCATTGCTGGGATGTATGTATTGCAAAATCACGTACGGCGCATTTAGAGTAAAATTTAATATTCTGTCTCACACCAAAGGACTTCGTATGGGAATACAAAAGAGAGAAATCCCCTGCACACAGATGCATTTCTAGGCATGAACAACATGCAAGAGGAATTGCTCAACAAAGTCAGAAAAACATAACCTCTTCAACTTGTTTGTATTTCCAGTGGGTAAAACAGAAGCAAAGCCTTCTAATCCATCTTCTGTTTTCCTGTTCCTTGAATATATGTCAAGACTTTCAAGCTATGGTAATGGACAAGCACCTTAGAAGAGTGTTTTAATTTTGTGGAAGAAACCTTTCCTTTAAACAGGAATATTACCTACCCTTTCATCTCAGGGTCCACTGAAAAATCTGCTTTAGCTTTAAGGACGTTTTCCATTTAGCTATATATCAAGAGAATAAACAATGTAAATGGCTTTTTTTGTAAATAATCAGGTTACTATAGTTATCTTGTGTGAAACATTCAATAAATTATGCATTTCGATGAGTCTGATAATTGATAGTAACCTTTGCTCTCAGTCACCTCTAGAAAACTTTAAATGTCCTTTTAGTCTCCTGGTTTCTGTAGTGTTTAGGTTTTCATTCTATTTAGATTTAGTGGGAAAGATACCTCCTAAGTACAAATACAATATGTTAATGTTGTTTTAGAAGGGTGAAAAATACACAGCTACGTGCTGGGGTTATAACAACAATATGTAATTGGCCTCAGATTTTTATATTGCATGATGAAAATTCGCATCTTTGGAAAGTAAGGCTGTCTGTCCTTTAATTATCAAACATATTCTCCTTTCTGCCTACCATATACCATTTTTATAGTCGATTTGTCAAATAATTCAGTGCAGCTGTTTTATTCACTGCATTTTGATTCCTCATTCACTCTGGATGTTTTGTATCATTAAAACTATTAATAGGAGGAAAAAATGTGCCAAGACTGAACTCTTATATTTCTATTTCTAGCTTTTTTTTTTCCCAGACTATAGCATAATATGTAATTATATTCTGAAAAATTATCTGCAGAGAACAGCAAAAGCAGAATATTAAGCTATTTGTTTACAAAAATAAATTGGGCTTCATCCTACATCTTTTACAACCAAGTCTGCGTATTCAGCACGGATACAAGTATTTAAGAAACAGATATGCTGAAGACAATGGAATTTGACATGCTTGAGAAGCACGAGTCAATGGAATTTTTGTTTGTATTGCAAAGTTAATGCATACATACCCTTGATCTCTGAAATATGTTTATATTTTACTCTAGTTTAAAAAGACAGTAGCAGTAAGATTTATATATTAGGTATATATCAGGACTCATTAAAATGAAAACAGCCATTAGACTTCATTACAGTGAAATGGTAGTATATAAAAGGAAAATTACTCTGCAGTTGCTAAACTGCCAAGTTACTGTTAAATCTTTATCTGGAATTCTCTTTTAAAAACATTCACATACTCGTTATACTTGGGTACAATTAATAAAATGTAACTGCACTTTTATCTTTGGGCTTGCAAAGCAATCACTATTCCAAAAAAAATTCTCTCTTTTACTACTTAGAGGCATTCAGGGCAGAGATGGAGCACAACACAAAAAACCAAATGTTTCAGCATTTAAAACAACAAGACTAGATTTTGTAATAAGCACCCAGCTTTTGACTTTGGTGTTTCTCTGAAAAACAAACATGGAAAACCAGAACCTTCCACTGCTTCTACATGGAACTGCTGATGACTTTGAAAACTGCCAGCTGCATGACTGCATTGACTCAGAAGTAAATCGAACAACGTGATTACTGCGATAAGGTGAACTCACTTCCATCCTTGTGTTCAGCTGGAGCTTAAGTTGTTACACCACTTTGATTTCATGTCCCTTGGAGAACAGGAAGGTTATGATTCTGCTGCAGCTCTCCATTATTCTAAATGCACAAACACGTATTCCAGGATTGTCCCCCTGTTCTTATGAAGAAAAATCTCAGGCTGTTAATATTCTAACCCATGGTATTCACACTGTGATCCATCCAGACTCAGTTGACCAACAATTCAGGTCAAAATCTCCTTAAGTTGACTATGGAAAGCTGAATATATATTAATGGTACATTAGCAAACTTCTAAGAATCATAGAATCACAAAGGCAAGATCTTAGGAGGGGACACAACCAGGTCAGCTGACCCAAAATGACCATATGATGTCAGCTTGGATATAAAAGCTAAGAAAAGGAGGAGAAAGTGGAGGCATTCTTTATTTACAACACTTGCCTTCTGGAGCAGCTGCTACACGTGCTGGAGCTCTGCTTCCTGGGAAGTGGCTGGACATCACTTGCTGAGGTGAAGCAGAGAATAAAATTAATTTTTTTTCCCCTTTTGCTTGCACACACAAACTTTTGCTGTAGTAAAATGCCTTATGTCATCCTAGAGATCTTATTTTGTCCATCTGAGAAAGGGGAGTGATAGAGAGGCTGGGTGGGAACATGGCATCCAGCCAGGATCAACCCACCACAACTGGTCAGGTTTGAATGCTATGAGCTCTGGGTCTGGCAACCCCTGATACTCTAGCCTAGAAAAGGAGATTTCCCCAAAAGCTCTATTGTCACAGCAGAATTAATGGTTTCAATATATCTGGATGTAATCCACAACACAAATTGTAAGTGAAAATAGACACAAGGGAAGTAATTCCAAACACCCCCCCAGTTACAGCTTGATGTAAGCTTTTCTATCTTCAGAAAAATTTTCTGACTAGCCAATAACCATACATTTAGGCATTTGCATATGTTTTAGCCTTTTATTTTTATAAATACAACTTGGACAGTTGAATTGCAAATGAACAGTAAAGATGGACTTGAGTGCTGGATCTTGCAATATCAACAGCAAAACTTCCACCTATGTTTGCTGAAAATTTTGAGGGTTCAGATTAGCAATAGTTTTACCTATTTCCAATCAACTTTCACATCAAAGTTCTAAAGAAAAGCAATATTAAGCCAAATCCTCTAAACATTCTGTTAGAAGAAATGTATATTTAGTAATACATTTTGGAATCTTCAGCCCTTGGATTCAAGGGTGTCAAATGTACTCTGAAGAGGAAATTCAGAAAATTATCAGTTTATTAAAAATTCCACTTTTCGCAGTACTAGCAAAAAATATGAAAATAAAATTGCATCTTTTCTAATGGACTTTATAATAAATATTTAATTATTAATAAGATTTCAGGGATATATCCTAATCCAAGTAGATAAAAAAGCAAGTGTTAAAATACCAGTGTGTCTTAACTTTTTCAGAATATTCAAATACAACTTCTATACATTGTTATTTCAAAGTACAAACTTTTACTAGTGTGAATAACCATGGAGATCTAGCATATAATATTTTTGTTGCAGTCAAGACTTCAGGATAAATAATTTTTTTATTTAACAGCTGAAAGTGCAGATACCATATTTGCTGAATCCACATCACTGTTAACCAATGATTCAGCTTCTATATAACAAGTCTATAACAAAAAATGCCATCAGGTCTTAACTTAATTATGTGTTTGAACACTATGATCATCTAGTTCTTCTGCAGTAGGCATAGCAATAGAATTGTCATAGAAAGCTGAGTACCTGGACTAAAAAAATGCATTTTGGGGATTAAGAAGCAGTCTTTCCAATGAAGCTTTGACTTTTTTACTGCAAGTATCCATACCAGTTCAATTCTTTCTATTTACATTTCATCCCATACCACACAGTTGCCCTTCACCTTTCTTTGTGGCGTAAATCATAAGTACACTAAAGAAACTTGATGATTTGTAAACATCGATAGCATACCTGTGTCTGTTCAAATCAGCAGCAATATGGTAATCTTACTTGACATCAGCAAAGCAGCCCGAGTTGTGTAGGACAAAAATGCAGTTTTGCTTTGTTTATTATATTAACAAAAAGTCTAGGAATAAGCACTAACAGCTGTTGCTTGTACTTTAAAATTTGCTGTAATCAAGCACAATGAAGTTCATCCATCTTATAAATGAAATGAACTTCTCAATCAGGGATGAGTTCAACCACAAAAGTAATCTAACAGACATGTAAATAGTGCACTACATAGGCCATACAAGGGTTTACTTTCCCTAACAGTCTTCAAGTTACTTATTGCATCCCTGAAATGGTGGCTTTAACTCGTTGCTTGCAGGTGGTGGTTCAGACTGAGATGGCTCTGAATCTGAAATAGAAAAAAATATTAATGTTCACCGAATAACTTCAACCAGAAGAATAAAAAAGTCAACTAAGACTTTTTTTCTCCCTCACACCAAAATGCATGGAAATTACAGTAGTTTTAATTTTGAATTAACAAGATAGACAAGCTACCTGTGAAATTTGCAGTATGATGCAAATCTATAACCTAACACAAAGGGGTTATAGATTTACGTATAGAATGGGTTGTATCTCCTGCCTGACGTGTCTAGGACTTATTCTGTGTAAGTGAAAACAGAGAAGGCTCTGTCTCAAAAGGGAGTTGCAAGGTGCTCATGCTGACAATTGTTTTGGATGAGCAGACAAAAGTACACAAGAGGGAAAAAAATACAAGTCTACCTTCAGCTATCACCTAAAAGTATGAAAAGGACAAGGTCAAAACTGAATCAAGGTACATGTCTGCACAAAACTGTTAAAAGCATTAAAAAATATCTCCTTTTACACTGAAATACAGAATCAACTGGAATAGCTACGATTGCAAAGGAGGGTAATGCAAAGCAGGTGTAATGTTATCTAAAAACTGGAAAAAGGAACTAAAAAATAATATGTATCTATATATCAATCTGTGCAGCACACTGACTTTTCAGCAGCCTTTATGGTGTACCCATAATTTTTTTCTCTGTGCATAAGTGGTATAACCAAATCAATGTCATGATTACTCTGAAATATCTTCAGCTTTCTTTATATCACAAATGTCTCATTAGAGGCACACATTAAAGAAATCAACTATCACCAAATTAATGACTTTGAGATTTTGAAATCCAAAATCCTTTCATTTTACTCACAGTAATGGGAAAGAAAAATGTCAGTGCGCAAGAAAGTTAAAGAGAATCTGAAAAAGAAAATAATATTTCAGGCTGAGGAAGAGCACTTTTAGACTCCACAGTTGAATTGTTGGGTCACTGTGCCTCCCAAAGCAGCATCCTCTGCGTGATCAGAGTTTAGATAGGTAAGTTGACTTTGAAGAGTGGCTTCTCAGGTTATGCACCCTCCTTCAGGTCCAGACCGAGATCTGGCTTCATCCCTTAGTTTTATAGCAGTTTTTATTCTGAACAAAACCACACAACTTCCAGTTCTCTGTTTTCCTGCTTTATTCTGATATTCACCTGGAGGAAGAGGTTCTGCACACAAAAATAAAAAAACAAATAAACAAAAAAAATTACTGTAAATATATTAATAGAAGACACAAAGATGAATTTAGAAAGAGCTAAAATGTCAGAGATATTAAAATACTTGGCCTCTAAGACTTTCACACATTAAAATATCAAGGTCAAGGGAATGAAGGGAATCATGATAATTCCCACTGTATATAAAATGAATCCCTGATACTAATAAAAAAAAAATTCTGGTGCATGCGATGTGTATGTTCAATAGCATTTCAAAAGATTGCTATACAAAAGTGATATAGCCACCATGGTTACCAAGTCAGTGTAAAAAGTATAAGTAAAAGGTCTTTGACAGAAGTAATGGGAATTTTCCTCCCCTTTAACCTTTATATACATAACCTTTATATATGTGTCTTCAAGTGATGTCTTTCATATCTATTATCACTGTGCTTGACAAAGTAAGGTAAGTATTGGATAACTTTTTTCTCTTAAACTGTTGCAATTCCACTCTCTTCAACAATGTGCATGTATTTATTTTGACAAATTTTTATGAACAGTGATCTATTTCTTAAACACGAGTATTAATGATACTTGTGACAGAAGTTTCCAGAAAAATATTAGGGGCAAAAGAATATTCATAACAAATAGGCAACAAATATTTTACAGTCTGCTTAAATTTAGGCAGGATGGCTTTGTCCCTGCATCATTTTACAGAAACACATCACACAGAATCCCCTGTATCAGTACACAGAAACCCCTGGATTGGAACAGAGCAAACTGCAATTGTAGAGATGAAAAAACTCCATGAAAGCACCTGCCTTCGCTGACTACAAACAGGAGCACTCTTTCTTTAGCTGGTCATAGGGTATTGTAAAGTAAGCACAGCAATTCAGTGCGTCTCACCACATCCAGAGAACCGCACAAATTATTCAGGCTGCCCTCTGCTGTTACCTTGAGAGCCCAACTCATTTTAAAAGAAATAGCTTTCAATAATGTTACCTTTGGACTGTTCACTATTTTCTGATGGTTCTTGAATCTTTTTTTCCCATCCAGTACACTGCCGAAACCAGTCAGTCCCATAACCATTGTTAATTAATTTGCTAAAGTTTACTGCTTCAGTTTTTCTCTGAGCAGGCCTGTAAATACAAATATATTAAAGGAAAACATTTATTTTGCACAGAAAAGGCCTTATAACATAATTTATTTCTAATTATAACATTATTTCAAAAATTATAACCATTTATAACCTTATCATTTGTATCTAAATAACAAAACATATAGTCTACATGTAATCATCTAAGAAAAAAACCAAAACCAACCAACCAAACAAAAAACCATACAACTGTGCCTGATTAAGTGCTGTATAACTTTACATGAGAAGGCCTATCTATTTTATTGGAATTTTACATGTATAATACTGGTTGTAGAGACAAAGACATGCAAAAGGGAAATCCCACAAAGAATGTGTAAGTAAAAGGGCTGACAATACTCATTCTGTGCTGCACAAAGGTGGAATTTTGTCACACATTTGCTCTTAAATTCATTTGATGGTTTAATTACTTATTTTGCATCAATAACATAGTTCTAAAACATACTGGGATTACTGATGACCAAGTAATAAACTTCTAAGACAAAGTATGCAGAAACAATTCAGCTGCACACACAGCTGATGATTTGATTACATCACATCACATCACATATGATAGAATAATTTGCTTAAAACAGCTCTTCTATGAGTTCATGACAGTATTTTTGCTGTGTCTGACCTTGCATAGACTGCAGTTTATGTCTTTCCTTAATATGTCAGTCCTACTTGTGTCTGTAACCTGTGCTTACAAAACTAACAAGGTGCATTATTGTTTTCATCTGTTCACTGGTATTGTGAAAAAAACGCAAACAATTTAGAATACCATAAAAGTGTGCTACATAGAGACAGGCAACTGTATGCTTCGTTTTCCTAAAGCAAAGTTACACTGAATAACTTTCCTATATTAGTTAAAGTACTATTATTTTAGTTGCTTTTAAACTATTTTAGCACCACATATGATGGCAAATTTAGTAGCAGCAAGGATCCACAATGTCTGTACACATATCCACTAATCTCTGCAATTTCATGACAAGTAATATTACTTGCATACATAAATAGTTGCAGGCTTAGGTGTTTAATGAATTTCACAAGTGTACTACTTACACAGGTGGAAAGGAAAGCTTATTTGCCCCACTAAATTCCTTGCTTGTAGAAACATTCAGCATTCTGCTTGGATATTTAGGGTTTATAGCTGGGAGCTTCACCTGTGTTAGAGAAATCTTAGCTTAACAAAAGGAGTTATGAAAAAAATAACCACAAAGATTATATGATAGTACAGCATTTAAAAGTGAGGGTGATATTAACAGCCTCTAAATGTCTTCATATTTCAATGTCTTATCTATATTATTTCCATAAGTAATAGTAATGGAGAATAGAGGAACAGCAGAAGATAAAGCAGTCCCTTAGTTAGTTATTCTACAAGATTAGCTGTTTGTTCTCTCCATAATGTGCTCTACACAACCCTTTCCCTCACAGTACATTTCCACACAAAATTAAGCTTCAAATTCAAACTTACCCATTGCAACCTGTCATTTTGGTCCATTTCTCTGTATGCAGTGTATGAAAACAGCCCAGTTTTACTAATGGCAGGGGGACCAGCAACTAACTTCCAGCTTAATTACTACTTTTTTTTTAAATTAATAAAAAGCATAAAACATCCCACATAATAAGAAAACTCTTTTGGTACATTAATTAGAGGTTTGAAATTCAAACAAATGCACATATATTGGGGAAAGCCTATAACAGAAAAGTGTATTTGACTGGAGGCAAACAAAGGGTCAAGCTGTCAAAACTAAAGTCAAGGAAAAAAAGGGGGAAAGGAAAGGCAAAGAGAAAAGTCGTGAAGGCTGCGAGCAAGTCTTGTGCATTGTTTCAAATGTTGTCTTTCTTGGCATTAAAGGAGACAGGCTAGCATAAACTCCAGGTATCAAAATATTCCCTACTGTTCAAGTGAACTAACTAATGACAGAAGTAGCAAGCAAACCAGAACTTGTTTTTGGAGGGCACCTGCTATCCTGTCAGGTGCCGTTTGTTACTTTGCTGGGAAAATTCAGCATTAAAAGCAGACCTTTGTGCCACTACACCCCAATGGTTACAGCTGAGGGAGCATTTTCCCTTTGACAAGCCTCTATGTAGCAGCCATCGATTTTCACAGATAAAACAAACTATGTAGGGTGGGTTTTTTTACATGTTCTTGGTTTAAAGTGTTTTCTTCCTTTACAAAGAGATAGAAACAACATACTTTAAAAATTACTGTGTTTATTATACATACACATTTATTAGTCTCAGATTCAAGAAACATGAAATGTAGTATGTATTCTGCCTGGCTGGTATATGAGGAACAATGGATACGTGCAGCCAGCATGGAAAGGTAAAAGCTCCCAGATGAAATCCTGGCTTCCCTGTGATCAAGGACAAAATTCTAGATTAGATTTCAAATCTCTCCCTGAGGTAAAATCCTGACCTCAGATGAGCGATCCTTTTGCTACAGCACACACACACACCTATGTATGTATGCATATATACACAGACATTTCAGGCAAGTGCCTGAAACAGAGGACTTCACAGATGAAGTAGTAATCTTACCAGTGCTGAAGGGAGATTGCCTGCAGCAATGCAAATGCAAACCCTGATACCACCTCCAACTGATCTCCCACCCATATACAGGCCTCCTTCCTTCTTAAGGTCACAGCATTTTCAACCCAACCCAGCTGGGACAGATGATGCACAGGCAAAAGGACCACAGAATCACAGAATGGTTTGGGTTGGAAGGGACCTTAAAAATCATCTAATTCCAAACACCCTCGGCCATAGGCAGGGAGACTTTTCACTAGACCAGGTTGCTCAGAGCTCCATCCAGCTTGGCCTTGAACACTTCCAAGGACTGGGCATACACAACTTCTTTGGGCAACCTATTCCAGTGCCTCACCACCCTCATAATAAAGAATTTCTTCCCAAAATCTAATCTAAACCTATTTTCTTTCAGTTTGAAGCCATTGCCCCTTGTCCTGTCACTGCATGCTCTTGTAAAAGTCCCTCTCCGTCTTTCTTTCATCCTTCAGGTACTAGAAGGATGCAATTAGGTCACCCTGAACCCTTCTCTTTTCCAGGCTGAACAATCGCAATTCTTTCAGCCTGTCCTCATAGGAAAGGTGCTCCATTCCTCTAATTATGTTGATGGGCTCCTCTGGACTCACTCCAAGAGGTCGATGTCCTTCCTGTCCTTCCAGAGCTGGATGCAGTGCTCCAGGTGGGATCTCACCAGAGCAGAGTAGAGGGGCAGAATCACCTCCCTTGACTTGCTGGCTGTGCTGCTTTTGATGCAGCCCAGGATACAATTGACTTTCTGGGCTGTGAGCACACATTGCTGGGTCATGTCTGGCCTCTCATACAGCAGCACTCCCAAGTCCTTCTCAGCAGGGTGGCTCTCAATCTGTTCATCCCCCAGCCTGTGTTGATACCAGGGTTGCCCCAACTCAGGTGCAGGACCTTGCACTTGGTCTTATTAAACTCCATGAGATTCCCATGGGCTGCTTCTTTCTGGGCCAGAAGTCCATCACTTTGCCATGAGCACAAAGGCTAAACCCTTCATGCACTAGCACATCTTTGCTGCTTTGCAAAATTCCCAGCAGAATGAAAATTACCACTGTGATTAAGGTGTTAAGGAGGAACTACAAGATCCATCCCGAGGCAGGGAGAAACCATGTAATAGTCCCCCTGATCTCCAGTCCTCCACACAGCAATAACCATGAGGAACACTGGAGATATTAATACTTCATAACAAAGCATCATAAAGGCTTAAACCTCCAGAGCAGGGACTCACTTGGGAACAGTGTTTCCATTGTCTTCTTTTTCCAGCTGAAGAGGTACCTTTACAGGTTAAAATGGTTTTGCACTTGTCCCTAAGGGCATCCTTTGGGATTTAACTCCATGATTGCATCATGTATCTCTCTTTTGAATAAATACTTAGTCAGACTGGACTGAGAAATATTTTCAATACATTCAATCTCAATACTTGAGTTAGTTTGCTGCTGCACTATCATCATGTAGTCAAATAAATAAATTGAATATTCCTTAAAAATTTGCCTGTGGTGTTTTGGAATACATCTCTTACAAGATGTATAGTGAAAAAACTAAAATTGAGACTGTTTGGGAGGGCTTGTTTCATTGCCTCACTTGGAAGACTCTTTGGGAAGGTACTCTAAGAGCACAGGATAGAAACCTCCCAAAAGAGGATATACAAGAAATAGATGTGAAAGAAGCACCATGTGATGTTTCAAGATACACGATACACTTTTCAGGGTACAACAAAGATTCTGTGAAGGACAGCCATATCAGAGACGGTGGTGTGAAGGCAGAGCTAAACCTAGCAACACAGAATCTGATTCTCAGGCACCTAACCTTAAACAGAAACATTTGGTAGATTTAGAACTTTAGACAAAACTCAACTTCAGCTTTTGGAAGAATAGTGTAAATTATATATCAAGGCCTCAGCAGATTTGGAATCTGAGCTGAATATGCAACATATACCCACTTTGTATTTAGTGACAAATAAAACACACGGGAACTTTCAATCGCGTGAGTGAATAAAACTGGATCTCAGTCAAGCTCCATCCAAACTGAAATGGACCTCAGTCTCACAAGTCACCACATGGATTTTAATTACTCTTACTGTTACCAAAGTTAAGTTTGACCCTTAAAACACTTAAGATAATTGGTTCTTAAGTAAGGGAGTGAGGGACAGCACTTCCTGTCTGTCCTAATTCAATCCTTTAAGAGGCTCTGCAGCAGGCCAAGTTTTTATTTTCAGTGCCTTAAATCTATGACTGAAAAAAAGCTTCACCAACAAGAATCAGGCAAATTACAGTTTAAACATACATTGCTTGTTTGCCTATTGACACAGATTAGGTAAACATTCCTGAACCTATTCAGTAATGAGGTGGTCCCATTTACACAAGTCATCATTCTGAACTTGCACTAATTACTCATCTCAGCAAAGGCTCAGGACTTTTTTTCCTAAAATGTGCAAAATCTGCCCTTCTGTTCAAGAAGAGAGGTACTGGTGTCCAAGTACATCAAATGCCTTTCCATGAATACCCCAAAGACCTATGGAAATGTGGCAACCAAGATTATGGAGGATATTTAAAAAACATAAGGTTTCAGCATCTAAAATGGACAGGGGCAGGGAGGATGAAAGGGGGAAGATGGCAGAGAGGTTTCCAGGACAAAATACAAATATCAGCACAGTAATGTTTGTTCTGGACATAGCTATGCCTGCTCTGTCTTGGATACATCTTTCATTCAAAGACAGCTAGTGCAGTATCTTTGGGCACTCTCTTGCATTTTAAACTAAACCAAACTCCTTTTTCAGAACAATCTTCTGTTCTTATCTCCTTCTTTCTTCTTTACTCAAGATTACTTAACAAGAAGTCTCTTTACCAAGAATGAATTGCAGGGGCAATAAAGCATAAGAAGATAGAAACTAACTACTGGCTTTCATTCATACTGAAGTATATGCACCATATAATGTGATTGGACACTGTGTTTCTGGTTCTTATGCTACATCTGCAGCATTTAAGAGAAACATGGCTTTCTTCTCATTCTCTAACTGCAATACAAAAATTGCTTCTGGAATACAGAAACTTGTGTGGATTACAGCTTCCCTTCTAGAAGAAGCAACAGGCCCAGGTAGAGCTATGTTCACAAGCTCTACAAAGCATCGTCATAGAGTGCCTCTCGATCCTACCTTCTTTTTCTCTGCATTTTCTTTGTCCTCAGCATCCTGCTGCCAAACACTTTTTGTATCAAAATCAAAAGGCCCTCTTCTTGCCTCATAAGTGTTACCACGATGGTCATCAGCCTTAAACTCTCTCTGAATCATATATTCTGGTAGAGAGGAAACAGAGCTCCTGCAGGCAAAGATTTAACACCTGTTTGCGCCAGGGATACAAATCTTGCACTTTAGTACAGAAGTATTCTGAAATGTTAATAAGTGAAGACAGAACCCAAAATGTTATGTGGGGCTTCAGCAGGCTTACCATGGCTCATCCATCGCTGGGGGACTGGTGTGGTGTAAGTACCAGTCGGGTGCAGCATATGCTGCTGAAGGGGACTTCATTATCACAGGAGTGTAGTGCTTCAGTAGGTCTGGAGAGAAAAAGACAAAAGTCGCTACTTTTCTGACTTCTTCTCTGGTTGCAAAAGCATTACCTTTGTTTTCAGGTTGCTGTTTTGTCAAGAAGAAATGCTTGCTTTCTTCAGTAAGGAGCATTTGTGTCCCTTGATAATACAGACAGAACCTTGCAGCACTGTGTTCCAACTGTACCTTGTTTGTCTTGCTCTAAATGCTTTGACATGTTTCTGCTGCTCAGTTAATTCATATTTCTGGATTTGTTTCTCTGAATGTGCATCTGCTCAAGTTCCTCAAGCTTCCTTCTTCAATAAAAAGGAAATAATAAACCCACACATCACCCTGGTACAAGAACAGAACACGTACAGCACTGTAACAAAATGAAGTAATTACAAAAAAAACGCTTTATAAACCTATACTAAGTTTTCTGATGATGGTTTTTTGTGTAATTATTTTCACTAGGCCACTATTTAAATAGCCCAAGCATAAATTGCAGAGACCTCACTCAAATGCAGCCAGACCATCATCATCCATTTAGACCAAACACAGGTCAAGACCGCATGTTTTGCTAAAGAGTACCCATACACAACAGACAGCAAGGATGCCTTGACAAGGTGACCTCTACACTTTCATTCGCTCATTTTTTCCACAGGTTAATTTCAAAAGTCCAGAGGATCCTTCTGTAGCATCTACAAGAACTTTATACGACACTCAAGCAAAGCCAAAGAAAATTAAGGAAGACCAAAGAAGCAAGACAGATGCTCACCAGACTGGCCTCCTTGCTTTGCCAGCCTCACATAAGCTGAATCAGTATCTTTGATCCACTTCTTGAGGCACCCAGAAGGTGGCAATTCATGGGGAGCTTTTGAAAGGTCACTGAGGCTCTGGGATATTGGGGGAAGTGGGCTCTTCTCTGGTTGTTTTGGTGGCATGGGGTATTACCGTCCTGCGATAATGGAAACGAAAAATATTTATAGTAAAAGTTAACTACTAGCATCCCTTTTTCAGGCAACTGACAAATTGAGCCCACCTGGAACATGAATGAGGTGCTACATTTCAGCTTGGAGACAAAAGACCAGGCTTGCTTATTCCAGGGGATATAGCATTTTCGTTTCAGTTTTGAAACAGCATTTAAGTTTTCCTGTAAAATGTTCTAATTCACTTCAATCAGAAAACTATTTCCAAGGGCACCAAAAGCAGCAAGAGGCACTGGAGACAGCAAGAAACACTAAAGCCTTTGGTTTCCTTTCCTTTTCATGCAGTAACAAAAACAGCACCTGTCCATTTGCAGGTCTTTATGTGTAAAACAACCAAACCCGATCCCCAAATAAAAATCATTTTAAAAACCAACACTCAACACCCTTCGTCTCCATACATTACTTTCTCAACTTCTAGTGAGCAAAAGAAAATATAAATAAATCCTTCATAATGGTAAAATGGACAGAAAGCAAACAAGAAAAAGCCAGTCGAAGGCACTGTGCCATGGAAGGTTAACAGGCACTTACCGAAGCTATTCCAGGTGCAGCTGATGCCGTTCCGTCGGTGTAAGGCGACCACTTCCAGGCTGCAGCCCGCTGAGCAGCCCCTGGGCACACACACGCGTTGCCTATGCCCAAACTCAGCCCCAAGGAACAACAACAACCCAAAGCGCTGCCTCTCGCC